CCCCCCCGGCAGTGACCCATTGGCACTTACGGTTTCACTTTAAACGCAAACGGAACAGCCAGATCTGTGAGAAAGGTCGTCTTCGGGGTCCCGTCGATGCCCGCCGCTGCCAAAGCAGCCTTCGCCGCGGTCTGGTTGGCTCCAAAGCACGCGTCTACAAACGTTCCAGCCTGGGTCTGCTTCTGCGCCACAAGGTCCGCGTACTGGGCGAGCGGGCACGAGCTGCCGGGTCCAGAGTCGCAGCCCACGACAGGGTACACGACGTCGTTGAGGACGATGCGGAGAAACTGGCTCGCGGATTGGTTGTTCTTCTCGCTCGCGGCGGTGCAGGTCAGTCGCTCGAAGCCGACGGTGCCGCGCATCGTCACGTACCGCGACGAAATGTACCGCTGGTTCTTGGGGATATTGTCCGACGGCAGCGCCAGTTCGTCGTCAAACACGCCGGTCTGGCTGACCAGCTGGTTGATCTGCGCGTCGTTGGTGAATGTCACGACCAGGGCGGGCGGAGTAAAAGTCGTCCCGTCGCTGGACTTGTACGTCTTTTTCGGACCATCCATGAAGCGCGAGACCAGGGCTGACAGGAAAGGCAACATGAATGTGCTGTTCTTGAAGGAGCCCGGCCCGTGGCCGTAGTAGAAGCGCAGGTCCTGGGAGTATTCGTACGCTTGCAGCTCCTGCTCGGTGAAGACGTCGCACCACGGACTCCTCTGGCCGGTCATCTCGCTCTCGAAGCCGCAGAGGAGCGGGAACATGGCGACGTCCGTGGTGTTGAAGTTGACGGCGCCCTTGGGCTTCGTGAGGTTGTTGACTCGCTCCACGATTGGAGGAAGGTAGGTATTCGCCCACTTGGACGCCGACGACCCGCCCATGGTGTCGTTGTACGCGGGGCACAGGTCCGACACTCCAAGCGAGTTGGCCAGTCCGCGTGGATCGGTGTTGTTCAACACGTACACGGTCCCGAGGGTCGTTGCGTTCGGGCCCAGGAACCCACGGGCAAAGAGCTTGGCCGAGTCGATCACTCGAGGCGAAGTGGGAAAGAATGCATTCGCCCAGAGAACGAACGGCTTGCTGTTGTCCGTGTAGAGGTCGGGATATCTCCAGCGGTAGGCGGTGCCCATGTCGTACATTTCCTTGTAGCCACCGATGGACAGTTGAGTCAGGACCTGACCCGGGTTCTTGAGTGTGGGATCCCATGACGAGACGAACGAGAGGGCTCCCTCGCCGGTGGCAGAGGCGTTTTTGATCTTGGACTGAAGGCCCAGCCACTGTTTATACACTGCCGGGTCGGGGTAGCGGGAACCGTGGCGGCTGGTGATGGAAGCCATGTCGATGGTGCATCCTTCAGGGATTTCATAAGGAATTCCAGTCACATTCGGACCTATATTTCAATGCAACGAGTTAGAAGAATTTTCCGAGTCTCTGGTCCATTGTAGTTGAATATAGGCTTACCAGGAAACCATGGCGAGTTTCCCCCTAGAAAAGGTGGGAATGTAGCGGGTATCGTTCCTGGCTGACCACCAACATCGCCGACAGCCACCGTGCTGCCTGCAGACAAGGAGAGAAGCAAGGCTTTCCAGACAGTTAAGACCTTCATCTTGATGCACGTTGAGGTTTGGTTATGGAAGATGGAAGAGATTCCATCAGCCAGGTCCGTTCAATTTATACTTCATCATCTTGTTGCAAGGCCAGAAAGAGACCTGGAAACGAGGAGAAAAGTTGCGCGCCCGCCAGACCTCTGCGCAGCAGCCACAGAACCAACTTTCGCAAATTCCTGGAATCCAATCAAGGAGGAAAGTGTCTTGCATATGGGTGCCGCCTCGACTGTGATGCTATATTAAGTGGTCAAAGCCTGAAAGTTGCGTATGTCCTGAGATGTCGTCCCGGGAGGTCCCCGGCAGTGACATTGTCGTGTTCAGGCGAATCATCCCTAGACACATATATGCGAGGCAGCAACTGCCCGAATTTTAGGAAAATGACATCGTTGCGCAGCCTTGAAATCATCAACCATGTGACGGGGTTCGAGCGAGAGATATTGTATTTCCAAACCAAAGCCTTGGAAACAGAACAGACAATACTTGTGACGATTGTGCTGAACCATTCGCAGATCGCCAGACTCTCATTCAGTCACAGTTGAGTCTGGGAGAATGAAAGCCATAGGCAACGCTGTCGTTGTGGCTGAGAGCATCGTGAAACCCTCTGCCAAGCAACCACGACGTCGATGTTGGGTCCCGTATATAGACACCCCGGGTGACCTCCGGGTGATTTACTGCGCGGTTGGGCAGTGAGTGGAGGCGGTCAGTGGGTCTCCATCCAGGATACGAACTCGGCAGAGGCATACGAATACGGGGTAGCATTGCTTCTTAGCCGTAACTGGTAGCCGCTGCCGCCAAGGACATGGTGGAACAGCACGGGAGACGGAGAACGAACCGCCGATGATACGAGGGGGCAATGGTAGCCTCAGAGATGAATGAAGTAGAAGAAGCGGACCGTGACATTTGGAGTTGCTTGCGAAGGTTACAAATGCTGACAGTGGCAGAGCATCGAAGTAAGTACCCAAGTGTGTGGCAACCCAGGGATGGCGTCGAGGGCAAGCCCTCTCGTTGTTTCGATTTTTCGATTGAACTCCTGCGACTGGCCAATCTTTGGTCTTCAATGCCAGCAGAGCAAATTGAACAAGTGTCAGAGGTTCATTTCTCGTAATGAAATGGGCAGGGCCCGCACCCACTTAGCCTCCTCTAGGAGTGTCTAGACCTGGAAGTTATAATGGAAATAACATGTGCCAGTCCACCATTTCCTCGGCCCCCATATTGGAATTAGGGTTATTGAACTATGAGTGTACGTAGCATGAAGAGCAGTCTCATCATTGATACATCCTAGTGCTTCATCTCTAGAAGCCGCGGCTCGAGTGGTCTAGCATTCGGCGGAGAAGACGATGATGGTCTGGGAGTTTGTCCTTCACTTATGCTACCAAAATAGTAAAGGCAAATCCAGGTCCTAGGGTCACATCCCAAACTCCGGACTGCATTGGTGCACTCGCGCCAGACTCAACCTCGAATCTGTTGTAACCTTGATCTTGTCGTTTCCCATGGTGGATAGATGTCGACGAAATTTTAAGCCAAACTCCGGATGTATCTGGGTCACAAAAGAATTGACAGTGGGTAAGATTAATGTCGCGGGTATCATCTGTTCATTCTGGATTCGACTGCAGCACGAATAAGTTTTCTAGGCCTGCTTCAAATGTAAAGCGGCGCGCATCTGCTGTTTGCTGCAGTATCACTGCATTGGGTGACGTTGTTGGTTTTGATAATTGGGTTTCCGACTTCTCAGTGATATGTTCAACACAAATCATCAGCATCCAAAGACTCGGGTGACGATAGGCGAGGCGGTTCTTCTTCCCTTATTGCATGTTAGCCTTGTCGAGTAAGATGTAGCGTCAGACTTGGGAATCAAGATTGCGCGGACAGACATTTCGAGTCGAGGCGAGGCTTTCTCACTACTAAAGTTTCAATCAGAGATGGTGTTCAAGAGGAAGTTTACGTCGAGTTGGGTGGTGCGATAAGTCGATGTTTAATACGTCCACGACTGCTCAATTTAAAGCCATGTACTATAAACAGGTCGGTAAGCGCCGGGACTAGTGTCGGCTGCCGCTGGTGCCGGGAGCGTTGAACTCTGTCATCCCGTAGTTGACTAAGTTGTACTACCCCACAATCTTGGCATTAGTTACCAAACACCTGGAGATCCAGACTTCATACATCACTTCAACGTCCCCCCAAACCTGCGCTATCATGGAAAACAGGCCTCTTACCCCCCCTCAGGAGCCCCTTGGTGCGGAATCTCAGCCGGATGAAGACATCGACTATCATGAAAAATGGCTCCGTTCCCGCGGCATCGACATCGACGCGTTCATGACCAAGCACAACCGACTGACCATACCGATCGAAGAAGATATTCAAGTCTTGATTCGCTTCAGGCAGCTTCTGACAGACCTAGGAGAAAGTCTATCCCCGAACGAAGCAACTCAGAGATTTGCAAAAGAGCTCCAAGAGGAGGCCGAAGCTGCAAAGAAGAGCGCATGGACCGCAACTTACAAATATTACATGACAGAGCTACCTATCAACATACATTGCACCTTCCTCTCGTTTCTACGCAGCAGGTCATCCAACTCTAGCGATGGAATGGTCCATGAAGTCATTCCCTATCTCATCGATCAAATGAATGCCTCCAAAACCCCGCTCGTGGCTCCGAGTGAGAACGGCCAAATGAGTCAAGAGTGTACAGACAACGCTGAGACACCGACTTCGGCGCATAAGTCTGTTCGTCCCTCGGGTCCGAAGAGTAGGCGGTCGTCATACCAGCCCAAGAGACCAGAGAACAAGACCAGGGTTGAATCATCGGTTAAAAAGAGTTCGCCATCACGCAGAAAAAAATCGGTCAATCATGGTTCGGAGCCAGTACGGAGAAGTTCTCGTCTCCAAAAATTAGGTGATCTCATTGAATAAGCCGATTCGTTACCCTAACCTCAGACACGGGGTCAAGAGAAGCCAGCAATCACTTGGTTTAGCGTGGGATGATTGAAACCGAGCAAAGAAACCAAAATGTTTACCTGCGGAACCATCGTCTCAAGCAACTCCGTTTTGCTATCGAGAAATCTTGACTCGAGCGTTATCTATATATGTGTGGTTCTACCAAATGCCTCTTGATCTTAGATGGCGTGAAGTCCAGCAGAATCCCCGGCTGATCAGCTTCCCATCATTTGGGGTTTTCCCAGCCGACGAATATGAGATGATCAACTTCAGCACCACCAAAAAATCGCCACTGCTGGGGGGGACACAGTCTGACACCCCTGCACATTGGAGTACGCATCTACTCTCTTCCATTGCTGATACAATCGAGATGAACCGTCGTTGCCGTTTGTTTGAATCTGGTGGATGGCCGAACAGAAGCAGGAGAAAGCTCGGGGGGAAAGGCCTGGAGAGAGTGGTACGTCAAGGGCGAACAGCGGCCGGCGGACTCATTTGTTATCATTGAAGACTCCAAGGGCATCCTAGTGCCTTGTAAGAAGGGGGAAGGTGGTCTTTTCATGATACTGTATTCACCAGGTCGTCAGTCGTGCCCGGTGACCATTCCCCCGTTGGCATTGACAATCAAATACGACAAACCGTTTTTCCGTGGTACTTCTTTCCAAACCCGGCAACGCAACAGGCAACTGGGGCTATCTGATCAGGCCGAATGTGGAAGGAAGAGGAAAGGAGATTGCATCTGTCACGTTCGAACGTGTGAGGGCTGTCGTGGATTGTATCCGGAGAGCCAAACAAACGAGGCATTGACGAGGTCAGTCGGCGCAAGAATGTCAATAGATCCAGGAGCGATGTGCCTCGAACAAGTAAGTGGCTTTGCGATGTACCTCTCTGGCATGACTCTCAGGGTTCGCCGTTGTCCATATCACCACTTTCGTCCCGCACTTCACATGACCACTTTCTCCCGCATGGATTGACCCTCGTTGTTTCTCCCCTCCGATACAACAGGTAGCAATTGTCTCATCTCTCGGCTGCTCTCTCGGCTGCTAGGAGGACAGGTTTTGTGCCGACCTCGCTGCTGCCGGCTTGGCTTGGACGTGGAGGAGTGAAACTCATCGGTCCACGAACGTGGCCCTGGACCCTACGTTAACTCCCTCCGATATAATCTGCCCTCTCAGAGCAAGCAGACTCCGGTCGACCTTTGCGGGGGCGGCTTGCATGGACATCCTCGCGGGGTTTTCTCACGCACTGGAAATCGGGAACTTGGGAACACCACCCCCGATTCCGATGGTCAGTGTCGGCGGCTTGCCCTGTATGTGATCAATGGGCGCTCTTGTTCGGCCCCAGACCAACATGCACCTAAGTTAGGGCGAGATAATAGCATCCTCCAATCTCCAGCCTAGAAGTTGTCGCGGGTCAGCACTTTTCCGACCGTGTGCAAAATACAAAGTAGAGTCAATACAAGAAATCAGCCCATGCCGTTACGTATTCCGAGCGGGAGATGAGCTTGATCTCTTTGCTTGGACAGACGGGTCTTTCCTGCAGGGGGCCGTAACCTTGGCCTACGACAGGAGTGTGTCACGGTGCTGTACCGAGTACGAGGAACGAGGCAGTCGTACTTGTAGGAAAATGGCCGGGTCGCCACATTGCAGCCAAGGATCAAGACAAAAAACTTAGCCTCGCCAATGCCCTTGGCCAGGCTTGAACAGACCTCTACCTGCCTTCTTCCAATATTGCAGGAAAAAAGCGGCTTCATTTTCACTTAGTAGAAAGTGTTCGTTTCGGTGCGGCGCTACATATCATGGTGTTGGACACGAGAAATTGCTGCAATGGACGAGGCCGGCCAAGATGAGACGAACGTGAAACATTCGCCGTTGGACGGGGCCGCTGAGCGAGATCCTTCGGCTAGCCGTTCGACCACGAATAGGACTCTGAACTGTGTCATGTTGAGATGTCTCGTTCATTCAAATGAATATCTAGATAGTGTCCCCTATGCCCGTTATGTTGCCCCCGCCTAGGCCCCCATTGACAATGCTGACTGAGGACATCACGCCCCAAGCTTTTGCTCTCTCACAAACTTCACGACCCTCTCCTCGTACTGCGCGGCATCCTCGACCCGTAGCGCAGGGTCCTGAACTGCGGCTTCGGCACGGATTTTGTCTGCAATCTTCTCATTCCTCGGAGTAATATCGCACGAAAACGCGACGGGTCTGAAGAGCGGGTTACTCCCGGCTAGACGAGACAGGACAACAGTCAGCGCTGGCCAAGCTTGCGGTGTTTCACATTACAGTTGCATCTGGGAAGAGATGTGACTTACCGACTTCGTCGCTGGGACGCGGGTGGTTACCCTGGTGGATGTTAAAGGCCCACAAGAGCCGGCTGATGACGATGAACAGAGACGCGTCGGCGACATGTCTCCCGGGGCATTCTCTCCTCCCTACGCCGAACGCATAATGCATGGGAGCGTGTGCACTTCGAGGGAGGTATCGGGGGTCACTGTCCGGCAAGAATCGCTCGGGTAGAAACATCTCGTGGTCGCGGTAGTACTCGCTGCTGTGGTGGATGGCATACACGTTATAGATGACGGTCGTTTTCGCCGGGATCGTCTTGCCTCGATAGTTGTCGGGCTCGCTGGTGGCGCGGTAGAAGGCCAGAGGCGCCACAGAGGCCCACCGGTGGATTTCTTCGACGACGGCGCTGATGTAGGGGAGTTCGCTGCGGTCCTCCCACTGCGGCAGTCGGTCATGCCCGACCACGCGGTCCAGCTCCTCCTGGGCCGTCTTGACAAAGTCGGGATATAGCACCGCGGCCTTGAAGAACCATTGCAGCGTGGTCGCCGTGGTTTCGGAGCCCGCGCCCAACAGCTCCGAGAGGATCGTGCGCTTGTCGACCTCGGAGAAACTGTCAATCTCGGGGCTCTCCAGGAACCGAGTGAGGAAACAGTCGGGCGCGTCGCCCTTCTTCATCCGCTCCACGATCGAGTCGTAGAAGATGCCCCAGAATGCAATGAGGTTGTCAAAGGTCCTGCGTGCGTTTGCCCGCCACGGCGCGAGGTTGTCGGGGAGGTAGTTCAGCACCGGGATCCAGTCGGCCAACCAGTACCCCGGACGGATTTCTGAGATCCCACCAAGTCAGTGTGTGTATTCTTTTCTTCAATGACTCGCTCAGCTACAAGATTCATACTCTGAAACATGTCGAGGGCGACGTAGCGGATAGTTTCCGGGATCCGGGTGTCGCTCCTGGTGAAACGGGCTCCAAGCCTGCCATTCGTGAGTGTCTGTCTGTTGATGCAATCCTTGGAGGTACTGCAGCCTCAACTCACAGGAGACTAAAAGTGACGCTGGCCGAATATCGACCGACCTCTGTGTAGAATGCGTTGGGATGTTCCAAGATGTTCTTCAGCGTCTGTCGACTCTCGTATTCCTGGTAGGGCTGGAAGATCTTTGCGTTCTGCATCCCAAGCAGGCGATGGATTATTTTTCGATGTTTCTGGAGTTGATGCATTAGTATAGGCATACGTCAATTCGTGGTTAGTGTACAGGGCGAGAACGTCAAACCCACTCTGAACTCGTCACCGTATTCTAATTGCACCATCCTTGCCGAAGCAATGATCTTTGCCTGGGGGGACGGAGACGGTCGCGACGAATATTTCTGTCCTCGCTTGACGATCAGGTCCTCGATCGCGGTCGGGCTGCTGAGGACCAGCACCTTGGAGCGGCCCATGTTGAAGGAGAAGAAGTCCCCATAACGAGGGACGAGCTTGGTGAGTTGTTGGTTGAGAGTCAATTTCTTGTCCGGCAACACTCCTAGGAGCGGGATGCCTCGAGGTCCATCAGGCCATTGACCCTTGAGCCCGAGCGAGAAGTACAACCCTACTGCAAGAATAGCGAGAGCCAGAGACCAGAGCATTGTCAAAGGTGGCTCTTGAAAGTGTTCCCCTCACTTGAATAGCAGGAGGAGGGCTCTGCAGTGCCACCTACAGACTCAAGAGCGCTCACGTCGAGAGGTGATGCCATTTTTATAACCAGAACACCATATGTGGTGGTGGTGGCGGCATGGACATGGTGGATGCATCCCTTTTTCCTGCCTGATCAACGGCGGGCCATGGACTTGTTTCTCACGAGCTATGCAACCTTCACCTGCTTTGGCGATTGGATCATCTTACCAAAGTCAAACCTCTGTCAAGTTACTCAATGCTGGTTTTGTACATGGCTTTGCCTCTTCATTCGTGAGATCCAGAGGCAGCATGTGGGTATGGCCGTCAGCGGTCGTTTGCCAGACCTGGATTCATCAGACTGCGGTAATGTCCCTGCAGGATGCAAGTCAGCTCAGACGAGTTACACTTATCCTCCATTTCTGTATCGGGAAGCGTTGTAAGTAATGAAGAAAATACTCGAACCCCACGTACCTCGCTAAGTAGCGTGGTAGTGAGACTAACCGATTCAAGTTATCCAGGATGGTAATACCTCTTGGGATATACCTACCAATAGGACGCGAAATGACTTCGTTGGAGTTAGGAGTCGGTCTTGACGAGCCGGGGGTTCACGACCCAGGTTCAAGGGGCGTCAATGCATCGAGCTCAGACCTTGTCATCATTGACGTTTGGAGTCAAAATTACGGCTCCGAGATCGACCATCAGGCCATTCTACTCGTACAATGTACCCAAAACAGTATGAAAAAGGGTGTCAGCATTATCACGCATTTAGATTGTCCTGTTCGTCCCCTATCTCCCAATGGCCACGATATTACAGGACCATCTTCCCCTCCTCAAAACCCATAACCGTTTTCGGATTGAGTAGAAATGGGGCAAGCAGGTGAGTGCTGACTAAGTGCTCTGTGGGGGTGCCGATGGTGCACGTGTGATCCACGTGATAAGTTCTGCCTCTTTCAGTCGTGGCAGGTTGGCCGAAATGCTTCCTGCACGTGATGCATGCAGGACCTCGTGGACTCCCCACCGTTTCAATGAATAATCGATCAAATCT